AAAAATGGAGACTATTTCATTTATATACAAGATGTTCGAGTTTTTCATCTTAAAAAAGCAACATTAATTTCTTGACGACCTTATACTTAGAAATTATTAAAAATATGTATTAACTTAATTATATTTTTTTAGAGGATATATTCTGTATTTATATTATAATTAAAACTACAATTACACAAAATTTATATTTAAAAATTTTCCATTTAGTCTAGGTATGTGCAGTTTATGCATAACGTGTGGTTAAAATGTTGTTAAGTTCATTTTGTTCTAGCTACCTTTATTCTTTGTCATTCTCTTTGAGATAAAATCTGGTCTGCCCATGTAATTATGGCTATAATGCTGCACATTATGCAAGGATGTACTCAACCAGTGTCCTCTAACAGGACATCAGGTGGTACTATGAAATTACAGATAACAACTTCTACTATGTTTGAATGAGAATGACCAGTTATGTGGATAACACTAGGTGCTCTGTATAAGCCTGACTACCAATACAACTAAGTAATATGAGACTTAAAAAGTCTGGAACTTCATCTTCAGTGAATCATTCAGTTTGAAAATAAGTCTTATGGGAGTAAAGCCAGCCTGATCAATTCACAACCCAAGAAAAATTGGCTGTCCAACATCCAGTGCAAGTACACACATTGTGATTGTGATATTTATATAAAAATTTTTATTGTGCATCACGTTTTGAGTCAGTTTTAGAGGAACTAATTGTTACTTCTCGATTTATCTTGCTAATCCTCCCATTGTTCAGCAGATCCATCTAATTCACTTTTCTGAGCAATCGGTTGACCAGAAAATATTACACTAATAACACCAATCAAGATAATATAACATATTGTATTAAATCAGTATTCATTGAAAAGGCCAAAAATTAATGAATTCTGTATACAAATATTTCTACTACAGTTTTAAGTACTGACTAGAATCTTTACAAATTATAAAGAATTGTTAGTTGAAATAAATTAAATAAAAAAAACAAAACTGTACAAAATTCATACCTGGAAAAAATCTGGTTCTGATTTAAGGGATACATAACTGTTGAATTAGTGAAGGTGTAAGTGGATGAAGTTTCTACATTGTTCTTTCCTGGTTGGTAATACGCTAGGTGAACAAAAACACCTGGGGTTCAACACTTAATCAATAATGTGATAAAACAAATGAGCCTTAAAAAAAGACAGTTGTTTTAAAAGTACCAAAAATACAACATTGTTAAACATCTGAAAACAGGAGTTTTTTCACCATTCCTTAATAAAAATAATTTCCAATATATTATTTAAACTGAAATTTCTAGTCTAAGTTTACATGAATCTAGTCTCAAACAGTTGGACTGACATAGCAGCAGCAATATTTTTAATGCTGAAGTAATGACTTGAATAGAATCAGTCTTTTTTAACTTTGAAGATGTATATTTGTGATATTTAACATGATGCAAAAAAATATACCTTACATAGTTTTGTTGAATTTATTACACATTTTATAAAAATATAATGGTCTTGTCAGTTTATTACTTTAAAATAAAACAAAGTGCAAACTTCAACATCAATGTAAAGCCCATTAATTCACTGTTGTTGTTTTTTATTTCAAGAAACATACATTAATATATTCACAGGCTTGTAGAGTGTTAATTTAATTAAAAAAAAAAAGAAGTTAACCTTCATCCTCCTCAAAGTCACTTAATGTGAAAGTATCGGGTTCTAGTTCAGGCAGATGAACTTCTCCTTTTATTTGTATCCCTGGTCTTGTCTCAAAGATACCACCGAGATGGGGTGTTGCTAGTCGTTGCCAGTGGTGGAGAGTTTGTGAACCTGGAAACAGAATGACTTCAGTAGGGTAAAAGAAACATTTTTTGCTATAGTGAAATTTGTTTTATGTTAAAACAAACTTAAAAGTCTATAACTGTCATTATATTATGTTTGGTGTACAGTTTGGTTGTGAGGATAACTCAACTATCTACAGTCAAGATAATCTAACTGTGTATATTTGTGAGGATAACTCAACTGTCTGCACTCAGGATAACCTAACTATATTTATTTGTGAGGACAACTCAACTATCTACAGTCAGGATAACCTAACTGTGTTCATTTGTGAGGATAACTCAACTATCTACATAGGGCAGTTAAAGAATACAATATGCTATTGTGTTAATCAATTTATTCACTTTACTTTTGAGTTTTCTGTGATAATGTTTTGTACCATTAATAAAGTCACCATTCAGTTGCCTTTACTCATTGTTTGTGACTCCTATATTATGCATCACTTATGTGCTAACATAAGTATTTTCAAAATATATGTATGTCCTGGGTGTCCAGGATTTAACCTGTAGTTTTAAACTTTTTTAAAAAAAAGCTTTCTCTCTTTCATAAATATTCACATACCTCTCTAAATTTATTTTGCTTTTTTCACTGCTTTGCACAATTTTATATTTTAAAAACAAAAAGGCATTTTTTGATAATACAAAAAAAAATGTGACGTTTCTTTCCTAAGTAGTTATTTCTTTCATTTCTTTTCTAGGATAATTTGATACTAATCTTGATAACTGCTAGTGTGTCATTTATAAGACATTTACTTTTAAATTACTTGAAGCTTTGGAGCTTACCTTCTAGTGGCTTGATGATCTGTAGTTTTTCAGGCATGTGGTAGCTACGGTTGGTACTTCCAGATATTATACTCAGTCTACGTAAAAGTTCACTGTTCCCAGAAAAGTCGTAGTTTAGCTTTGACATTTCATCTTCAGTGGTGCTGGGTTCATTTACTGGGTCTCCTGATCGTAAAACTGCTGCAAAGTCATCCTGGTCTCCTAGTCGAGACAAGGCTACCTCGAAATCAGTTGACCCTGGGGCACCAGGTCTCCCTAAGCTACTGAATGAGCTGAAGATAAGCAAACATTTTTAATTTTCTGTTGGGCCATTATGATACTTATGACAGAAATCTAGCCTGGGTGTTGTTCTACATAAAGATTCTAGGTAGTTAAAGAATATCAAACAGTTTTATAAGTAAGCTAGACATTGCTTCGGTTATCCTACTTTCTTATTACCTGGATGAATCATAGTTATCGTTTTTTTGTAATGAATTTCAAACAACAAAACAACTACTGAGAAATTACACGAGGTAGAATTATCTTTAAACATGTTCCAACTAACTAGGCTATTAAAACTTAAAAGCACATACAAAGTACGGATTTTTGGCTTGAAGTCACAAACTTTGAAGTGTTTACAATTACTAGTATTAGTTTGATAAATGATTCGTTTTCAAAAATCTAACCTGATTTTAAAAGTAATAGTTTTTTAACTACTTCTAAGTGGTTAGAATAAATAAAAAGTAACTTTTTTTTAGTAGTCAGTATAATAATGTGCTTACAGTCATTAACTTTCAATAGTTATAATTATTAATGTTTTTATTGATTAGTTTTTCTACTACGACAATCTTTTTTTTTATGAGACTTAAGTTTCTAAACATTATTATTGATTTTTTTACATAAAACAAGGTTAGCAAACAAGATTCACTTGTGACTACTGGCTTGCAGCAGTGCAGTCAAAATTATTAGAGTTCTCAATTTAAAACAAATTTAGTTTCTACTTTACAAGCACTTAGCCACAGAAGGTAGATATTACTTACATTATTTTAATTTTTTATTAAAAATAATTACAAACAACTATGTTGATTCATTATGTAGAAAGAATAATTCAACTACCTACATAGTCGGAATAATCTACTTGAATATACAGTGAGGCTACATGCATTGTCTACAGAAGGTTAACTATCAAAATAGTTATGATAACTCAACATTTGATATACTCAGGATAACAACTATCTACACATTCAAGATAACTAAACTGTTTAATTCATATTATCTAACTGTCTACAGAATCAGAATAACCCAATAATTGATACGGTCAAGATAACAACTATCTACACATTCAAGATAACTAAACTGTTTAATTCATATTATCTAACTGTCTACAGAATCAGAATAACCCAATAATTGATACGGTCAAGATAACAACTATCTACACATTCAAGATAACTAAACTGTTTAATTACTATTATCTAATTGTTTACAGAATCAGAATAACTCAATAGCTGATACAGTCAGGATAACAATTAGCTACACAGTCAAGATAACTCTACTGTCTACATAGTCAAGTGAATTCAACTATATGGCTAGCTTTGATCATAGAAATGTGCTTACGAGTAGCGACTTTCATCGTCGGTGTGGCAGCTTTCTGCATAAAGGGACTCCGAGTCTGATGTAAAACTATCATTAAAGCAAGAAGATGAGGAAGATAAGTAACTTAAAGACAGCGATGACCTTGTCCGTTTCTGCTGTGGTGTTGACTCCAACTGTCCAGTGTTTCGACGTTGACGATCTGATTTGGACTTTCCTGCATATTTTACAGTTTGGAATACACGTTTACTGTGCGAACTGAAATGAAAAGCAAAGAATAATAAGAAAAAGAAGAGACTTAGATAAAACATTTGTTGTACTTTGAAAACTCTCATTATTAACATAAAATCTAAAAAAAAATTTCTAAGTATTTATTTTATGATAGTTAAATCTAATAATTTCTTTCAAAAATAAGTAACATTATTAAATAGAAAATAAAGTTGCAAAAATTCTTATAATTTAATAACATAATTTCATCTGTTAATAATAAGTAATAAAAAACTTGTTTCCATCTTCATTTCCACATATACATGCATGATTTCATATATAGCTCTATTAAAAAAAACTAAAGATAAAACAAAAAGTAAGGTTCATAAAAATGAAGAATCGTCCAAATTCTAAATCAATACCACAATATTTCTAATTTTAATATTTTTCCTGCCTTATAACTTTAACCATTTTCTAATCTTTGACACAAAATCTTTCAGAAACAAAGATTTTATTTTTTTTTCAAAGAATTTCTTTGCGTATTGAGAGCTAAGAGTCTGAATGAAATGCTTAAATAAACTATAGATGTCACTTACAGTAACTCATCTGAAGCATAACCTTCACTATCTCTGCCAAGAGAGCTCTCCAGTTCTGAGGCTAAAGAATCGGGGTTTACATATGGTGTATACATGCTGTAATTCCAACGTTTGGCATTGGGCAGATGAGTACGACAAACCTTTTTATTTTCCTCCTGAACTTCTTGAAAGGCATTCAAAAGTTCAAAGTATTTGTCTTTCAGTTCATTTCGTTCACTCAAAAGTGTTGTTTGATTATCCTTTGATGCTTGCAGGCTCTCTCGAAGATCCTCATTTTCAGCAGATAGCTAAGTTAAATCACAGATGTTAATAATCTATTCCAAATAAAGAATGTGCTCAAATATCACATTTATCTGTAATCAACATGACTACCACTTAAAGTCCTTAATTTATCTCATTTATTTCACATTCTGTGTTGTCAAGGTCCACTTTTACACATGTTTAACCTGTCTTTTTACCTTGGAACATCTTTTTTTTTGTACATATTCGAAAGCTCACATGAGTAAATACATAATCAATATAAAGATGAAATAGAAAAGTTATTATTACATGTTAAAGACAAATCTTGCTTTACTAATCTGTAAACTTTTTTGAGGATGATCCTTGTTATGTGGATGCTAAAAAGGGCGTGGACCTTGTGTATTCAGATTTTCAAAATGCTTTTAATAAGGTGTCGCAAAAAAAACTAAGTATAAAAATCATATGGGACAACCCTGAAGGACCATTTGGTCCCTTTTATCCATATGTTACGGAAAAGTAAACATTTACAATATAATACCAAAAGCAGTTACTTATATATATATATATATAAGAAGAGAAAGAGAGAAAAATAAGATGTTGCAAGGCTAAATGTATGTTATCGTAAGTGTTTTTATGTTTAACTGACAAACACAATTATTACTGATTTACTTGCAGAATTCAAATAAACCATCTTAATAACACTTAAAAAACTTATTTGTATCAAAATAAGTGCACTACCAAATTTGTGGTGGCCTATTAACAGACTGTGTGATCTGAATATGCTACTGCTTTGAAGACTTACAATTGCTAACACAACATTAAACAACAAGGGACAGTTTGGTCCTTAAGGCTTGCTCAGGACACCCATCCCTGAGAAATACGTAAAGATTTAAATCCACCCTTTATTTTTCAACAAATCATCAATTTCCCTCTGGAACTCTTGCAGGAAATTAGCCTCCACTATTTCTGATGGCAAGTCACTCCATACCCTAATTATCCTGTTAGAAAAATAGAACTGTCTTAACTGGAACCTAGCCTGTCTTTTCCAAATCTTAAACCTGTGATGTCTTACCCTATTTTCTCAGGAATACAGCACAGAGAAATCAGATACCAAGCCTGCACACAATAGTCAAAGTTAGGCCTAATTTGTGATCTGTAGATATAATTACATTTTTTGACAAGTAATAAATATGTCCATAAATACATTATGAAATTTCACTAGCTTTATTACTAGCCACAGAGCACTCACTGCCTCAGTGGTTATAAATGACTTATCTACCACTACATCAAGATCCTGTTCTTCATTCACAAATGAAATATTCCTTTTTCTAAAGCTTCCAGCTGATATTTGCTTTTCAAAGTAAATTGTAAGCTTCTAGTTAACATTTTATTTAACACTGACCTCATAATATCAGAATATGCATTATAAATAAGGTTTGCTTATTCTTACCAGACCCTCTATATCAAGACATTTGTTATTTCCAGCTGTTTAGAAGCTTCTACTTGTACAAAATTACAGTCGTGTCCAAATGTAAAGCTGAATTCTAGTCTAAACTACTGGTCTGAAAATTATTCTCAAGTTCTTTAAGTAACTAAGCTTTTTCCTTCAGATAATAGTAAATGAAAAAGTATAGCTTACTGAGCGAATTTCACGCTGAAACTCCACAATTTGGGACAAAACATGTGTCACATCTTCTTGTTGTCGGAAGCAATCCTCCGACTTTTTACTGAGCTCTTCTTGAAGTAAAGTGATTTGTTTTTTAGCTTCGGCTACAAATAATGAAACACAATCAAATTCTTTTGTTTAGATAAGGTCAAATGAAATTTAAAAAATGTACTCTCTTTTCAAAATAAGATTCATAAATTAGAATCTTCACACTAAAATGTAATAACTTGACGAAGCTCTAAAGTGTTAGTGTAAAACAGTAAAGAGATTACAAAGAAACTTAAAATTATACCTTTTGACTTATAAGGCATAATCTTTTAAGAAGCATTTTGAAATGCAATCTATTTAGATTATTTAATCATAATCTTATGGCTGCAAATCACCTAAGTTTTTGGAAATGAAAAAAAAAAGGATTTAAACAAAGTTAAAAGCTCATCTCAGAATGAGTTCCATTTTAACAGCCAACTATTCTTGTAATGTCAGCTACTTTTAAGAATCTAGGCTTTGGCCAATTTCTTAATTTTTCTGGGCATTAATTTTTAGCTCTTGAAGGATTATTTTTAAGGTTATTTCAATATTGGGATTTTCTTTCAAGCACATGCTACAATAGAATTTTCAATGATTTATTTTACTTCTAGTTACCTTGAAAATACTTAGTTAGCAATACTTTAATTTTTAACTCAAATCCGCAACTTATTTTTATAATAAAGAATGAATAAACCTTTTACTAAAGCTTGGTATGTGTTTAAACAACATATGTACAACATAATAAACACTATCATACTTAGAATGATAACTAGAATAATCAATAAACCAAACTTTTCCTAAAATTACTTGACACTCTTAAGCTCATCTACATTGAAATAACTCTTATATTCTAACCTTTTGACTGTTAATAAATATTAATGAAGCTATTGTATTCCAACTTTAATTGAAATTAATATTAAACTATTAAAATATTTATAATTATCAATCTCTACTTTGACACTGGTGGAAACATCATCCTTACTCATCTTGCATTATCGTTAAGGTGAATCTTTTCTCATGGCTAACACATATCACACCTATGTTATATCCAAAATTCTCAGTGAATAATGTTTTAACTTACAGATCTCTTTAACAAAGTCTTGTATAATCTGCATTTCTTTCTTCTCTTCCTCCTCAAGTGTTGCCTCCTGCAGATCAACCTGTACAATAGACCAATACTCATTAATCTAAAATATCAAACTGAAAGTTTTTCATACGTGACTTAAAAATACAAAAATTCATAATTTATCAAATATTCTATAGACAGTGGTGATGGGAATCAAACTTGGATTAAACATAACATCAACTGGTAGGCATTACAATAGGCAAATGAAAAAAATAACTTTAGGCTTGGAATCAAGCTGTTCTGCTGAATGTGTCCTTTATAGGTAACTTCCTGAATTATGAAAAGGTTTCTTACAAACATTTAGATTCTATTTTGCGAAGAATAGTAAATATAAATGTTTCAGTTTCACCTAAAAAGGTTATAAACTGTCTTAACATAACAGTTAAGGATAATAAGGGGCCTGTTGGTCCATCAAGGCTGTCCCAATCATTAAAAAAAGAAAAGAAATTAAATCAAGCCCTGACCATTTATATATTTACTGAGCCTTCCCTTAAACTTCCTTAAATTTACTGAATCCACCAAATCTGAAGGCAACCCATTCCAAAGGCCAACCACCTTGTTAGAAAAGTAAAACTGTCCATGCTGAAGATGACTCCTACACTGATAAAATGTACGCCCCCTTGTCCTACCATTCTCACTATAAAAACAAAACCTGATGCATTGATATCATAAATTCCTTTAATAACCTTGAACACCTCAATCAGATTCCCTCTAACTCTTCTTGTTTTTTGAAGAGAATACAATTTTAGAGACCTTAATTTGTCCTTTTATAACACTTTCCATCCTCGTAGGTCTCCTCTGAACCCTTTCCAACAATTCAATGTCCCTCTTAATTAAGAAACCCAAAACTGAACACAATACTCCAAACAAGGCCCAAAAAGTGACCTATGTAATGAAATCATAGCCTCTTTAGACTAGTATTCAATACTTCTGTAGATACAACTCAAAATCCTCTTTGTCATAACACTAGCAAGAGCACACTGCTAAGATGGCTCAAGAGACTAATCAATCATATGACCAAGATCTTTAGCTTCCATAAAAGATTATTTCCATCAAACTCATACTAATAATTATAATTTAAATTATGATAAACTATGTGCATTACTATTTTTTGTAGTTTACTACAAGTTGTTTTAACAACATTTCTCAGGTTATAGAACTTAACTGTAGGATTTTATTAAAGCAGATGAGTAGCTGGATAGCAATGCAAGGTTTTTCCCCTTTGTTGTGATATTGAGGGCTGCTTGCATGCTCCAGCACCAGCAAGAAACATTGTACAAATACCCTGTTATCAATGCAAGTTGTCTATTTAATCCTTAGGAAACTGGAATATTGATATATATATATATATATTTTACACACCTCTGATCGAAGCTGGAAATTCTTTTCCTCAAGATCATGAACTTTTCTATGGAGCAACTCCAAGTCATGGCCCTTTTGTTCACTGTGTTCAAAGAAAACAGTGCTGTACATAAAGCAGTCACCAGTTCCTCATTGCAAGATTTTCTAGGCTTATAAAATATCCATTTCTTAAGTATGCTTTTAGAGGTAGTAAAGATAATAACCATTACAAAATAAGTACACATTTACCAATCAAGTAATGACACACTTTTTTTTTTAATAAAGAAAATATTTCATGTAAAGCTAAATAACAGATTGTTATTAAGTTAAGAACATAACATTAACAAAAAAGAAAAGAATTAAACTACTTACGTAGGTGTAGTTGGTTCAGAAAATCCATCAAGGTCTTGAGAGTATATCTGGAGTAAACTGATCTTAGTTGCTAGGTCACGTTTTAGCTGTGTTATCTGTTAAAAAACATAAGCATATAGAGTTTATCTACAAAAAAAACAAGACTTAAATCTAAGTAAATGAAATCACATTATTCCCCTATATGATTGTTGTTACATTCAGTTGGTCCTAATCTATCATATGATTTGTTTCTGCAAAATCCAAATGATGGCTTTGTAAAGGTTTACAGAAAAGTTGGACAAAGACTTGTTTTCCAAAGACATCTAAGCTCTTTACTTTCATCATCAATATATCTAACTTGATTAGTTATAAGAGTGAGAGCCAATCCCATTATTCAGTTAATTGAATGTTCACTAGGTTGATCCAATATTGGAGAAGTAATGTTGATAGTAATTCTGAATTTACTACGTGTGTCTATATGAAAGGTGGCAGGTTTTTAGAAGAATGTACACACAAAAAATCAGATGCAATACAAAAGTAATCACACTCAAAATGTATCTGTGAAATGATTAAGACTCTGACAAATTGGAGTGCAAGGTGATGTTGATGTGGAGAATGAAAATACTTATGTCCATCAACATGGCATTGTGTATTTGTTGTTGATTATCAACTATTCATTTTACCATGCCTTGCGAGAGTAACTACCAGATACAATATATAGGGATACTGAAAAGCTGTAGAATTTCATTTCAGAGGTTCTCGAGGCTATGGAAATGCAATATGTAAACTGTACCAATGACACTCTGTAAAAGGTTGTGACATGCACACTTTGAACCTTAGAAAATGGAAATGTAATAACAATGTATGCTTAAACTAAATCAAATTATCTAACATTACAGGACAAAGCTGCCTCATACTAAATAAAAACTACTCAACAATATATTATATTTAACAACACATATATTTAGTTAGAAGTCAGAAAAGATCATGTCTTACTAGTTTACAAAGTAAATAATTAGTGAAGGTATGTCATCAGTCTATTAAAGGTTGAAGTAAGACCAGTCACATTCATTAAAAGGTGAGGTAATTTTTACGAGTTATGTGAATTTAGATTTATGGAGTGGAAAACAAAATTTAAATGGGTATAAAGTAAGACAATATTAACTCTGCACTTTCCATAAATATTAGGTATCAGATTAAATTATAAACTTTGAACGAAATTTAATACTTAAAACTTTTACAGAATACAACAAGCTTTTGAGATCTGCAATAACAATAAGTAACTTATTACAAAAATCCAGTGACAAAAAAAAAAAAATTAAAGTAGTAGTAAAACTAAAACAACAAAGAAACAATATAAAAGTAAAAAATTACTACTAAGTAAAAGTAACGTACGTATAACTAA